AAATGGTGTACTTGGTGGGTAGTCTCTTATTTGTTAATGCTAAGTGTTGACTTTTAATAATATTAACCATTCATGCAAAAGGAGTTGAACATTTTGAAAGTTTGCTACAGCACGTCAACCTTTTTTTAACATCCCGCCCCATCCAGGCTGTGATTGGTAAGTAAGGTTGAAAAGTGACATTGATGAGCAACTTTATGCACATGCTTAGATAAAAAAAAACAACCCTATATTCTCCCTACTCAGTCTCTGCCGGTCGAGAGGGCAGACAGGAGTACCATCAGCTTGTGAGAAGTGCCAGTACACAAGAAAAAGTCCCGGTACACCAAAGAGTTAGATGCAAAAATGCACACACAATGAATGCCTGTCTTCCACCTCCCCAGCTTCTACTGTTCCACTAAATTGTTACTGTACGTGCTTATAGATTAAAGGAAGTTCAATATCTATGTACATAAAACATACTGCATGTGTGCCAAAATCTGGACTAGCGCCTGAATTTTATCTTTTATCTTTATCATAGTTTAAAGAAGATCATACTTCCTGATTGGACATGATAGAAAGAAAAACACCGTCACAGCTTATGAGAATTCATGTCAATTAAGTACACACTATGCTAAAATTGACTGATTCGATTATTTTACACAAGTCTGAGTCCAGGACAGCTTTCTTTTATCTTGTATGATGTTCCATCTACAGAACACAGCTGATTTGACCATGAACATTTATTTCTAGATAAGGCACAGCATTTTCACATCTATTATTTACACATTAGTGTATGACACATAGCTTAAATGAAAAATAATGATGATGGTTGCACATTATATTTGTCTTGCTGCTGGAGTTGATGTACCACCAATGTATAATCTACAGGGTCAAAGGATGACTAAAACTAAATTATAAATTATCAATATTAATTAATATATTAATTATTTTAAATGTCTTTAAAAAGGAAGTAACTAGTGCAAATTAGTGTATCAGTACAATACAGTGGTTTAAGTAATACACAACCAACATTTACGGTCTTTAAAGTGGGTTAGGGAGAGCGATGTTGAGCAAGTTTTCACTTGAGTCTTTAAAATGAAGACATGACTCCAACTGAGATTCTTCAGGTGATTAATATGGATGACTGTTCAAAAATGTGTTGTCACATGACCAATTTTGTCTATGGTTGCCAAGAAACAAGGAGTGGCTTAACTTCACTACAGGCTCAAATCACTCCGCTCTCCCTAAGCGATTCTAATCCAATACATTTCTTTTTGTCAAATTCAGCGAATATCTCCTCGCTGTCCGCTAGTTTTCCGTTGTGATGTTAGTTATAGTAGCGGCAGAGTTGCGAGTATCGGTGTCTGGAGATTGTGTGCTGGCTCTGGGACTGTCTGTCTGCTTTGTCATGGAATTGTATTTCTCCAGAATTGCTTACCCCACTCTTAAATCCTTGTGTAAGAAAAATGGCTTACATTGTGTTTTTTCTATAATGTGTTAGTGCTGAGTACTAACTCGTCAATTATCACAACCAATCATGCATAACAATTCAACATTTGAAAGTTTTCTGTAGCACATCAACATTTTTTTTAACATCCTGCCCCATCCAGGCTGTGATTGGTTAATTTACGAAAAGTAAAACACGACCACATTGACAAGTTGAACATGTTTCAACAAAAAGTTGCCCTTAGTTCTAGGATACTTTCTTTTTCCCCTACTTTTAGTGTGTCACACAAATGATCAGCACCTGGTAGGTTGGACTTTACTTTCGAAGCTCTGTTGTGTCATCATCTGACTCTATTCGTGTTCTCTTTGTTTGTTCTCCCTTTTGGAGCCAGGCTTTGTAAGGTTTTGTTACTTAAAGTTCCCATGAAACGGAAAGTGGAGTGCTATTTGCTTACGTGTTTCCCGTTAAGAGCTAACTATCTACAGATGCAGACAGATACAGTTAGCAGCAGTTAACAGTTTAGCAAAAAGTAAAGCTATCTGTCCATCCTGAAGCTCGGTACTATACCTCTGTACTTAATTCCCTGTTGGTCTTTGAGGCTGTGTTCAGTTCTGTTCAGGTTGTGTTTGCTGCTGAGCGCGATTTTGTTGCCCGCTTGCCTGGCTCCAGTTCTGGCGCCCATTCCGGAGCCATTACCCATTAGAGGTGTAAACACTAACACTCCCCCAGGCCCCGAGCTCCCACTCCAGGCAGAGAACAGCTATTACGTTAATACGTAGTTAATGTATGTGCCAGTGGGCTGGCACATACGTTAGGAAGGGGATGCACATCCGCCTCTCTTTGCAAGAAGACACAAACAAACCTGGTTTTCTGCCAGGGCCCTTAATTTCTTCTTTGATGGATTTCTAACAGAGAGCACAGCTGGACAACACATATATAGACCCATTTACTTTTTTATATTTCTTCATCTAAACCAGCAACCTGCCTCTTAGACACCATCCCAACTAGGTTGCTTAAAGATGTTTTACCCTTAGTCAGCACTTCTATACTAGATGTGATCAACCTATCTCTATCAACAGGCTATGTACCACAGTACTTTAAAGTAGCTGTAATTAAACCTCTTCTGAAAAAGCCCAAACTTGATCCGGATGTTTTAGCCAACTATAGACCTATATCTAACCTTCCATTTCTCTCTAAGGGCCTGGAGAAAGCAGTTGCTAAACAGCCGTGTGACATTCTACAGAGCAATAGTTTATTTGAGGATTTTCAGTCAGGATTGAGAGCTCATCATAGCACAGAGACAGCACTGGTGAAAATTACTAACGACCTCCTTATTGCATCAGACAAAGGACTTGTCTCTGTACTGGTTTTATTAGATCTTAGTGCTGCATTTGATACCATTGACCATCAGATCCTATTGCAGAGACTGGAACATTTCATTGGCATTAAAAGAACCGCTCTGAGCTGGTTTAAGTCCTATTTGTCAGATCGATTTCAGTTTGTACATGTTAACGATGAGTCCTCCATGCATGCCAAAGTTAGTCATGGAGTTCCTCAAGGATCTGTCCTCGGACCAATCCTCTTCACTTTATATATGCTTCCTTTAGGCAATATTATCAGGAAATATTCCATAAGCTTTCATTGTTATGCAGATGATACTCAGTTATATCTATCGATCAAACCAGATGAAACTCATCAGTTAGCTAAACTTCAAATGTGCCTTCAGGATGTTAAAACCTGGATGACCTGTAATTTTCTCATGCTAAACTAAGTGACTAAGTTATGATAACTGAAGTTATTGTTCTGGGGCCTAAGCACCTCCGTGACGCATTATCTAAAGATATAGTTTCCCTTGATGGCATCGCCCTGGCCTCCAGCACCACTGTGAGGAATCTTGGAGTTATCTTTGATCAGGACATGTCGTTTAAGTCTCACATTAAGCAAATTTCAAGGACCGCCTTTTTTCACCTACGTAATATTGCGAAAATCAGGAACATCCTGTCTAAAAATGATGCAGAAAAACTAGTCCATGCATTTGTTACTTCTATGCTGGATTACTGCAATTCTTTATTATCAGGCTGCTCGAAAAAGTCCATTAAGACTCTTCAGCTGATCCAGAATGCTGCAGCACGTGTTCTGACAGGAACCAGGAAAAGAGATCATATTTCTCCTGTCTTAGCTTCTTTGCATTGGCTTCCAGTAAAATCCAGAATAGAATTTAAAATCATTCTTCTTACCTACAAAGCTCTTAATGGTCAGGCACCATCTTATCTTAAAGAGCTCATAGTACCTTACTACCCCACCAGAGCACTGCGCTCCCAGAATGCAGGGTTACTTGTGGTTCCTAGAGTCTCCAAAAGTAGACTAGGAGCCAGAGCATTCAGCTATGAAGCTCCTCTCCTGTGGAACCAGGTTCCAGTTTGGGTTCAGGAGGCAGACACCATCTCCACATTTAAGAGTAGGCTTAAGACTTTCCTCTTTGATAAAGCTAATAGTTAGGGCTGGCTCAGGTTAGTCCTGAACCATCCCTTAGTTATGCTGCTATAGGCTTAGACTGCCAGGGGATTTCCTATGATGCACTGAGCTCCTCTCTCCTCTACTTTCTCTCCCTCTGTATGCAACCTCATCCCATTATTGCATGTTACTAACACAACTTCTCCCCTTTCCGGTAGTCTTGTGCTTTCTCGTCCCTCTCCTCTCTCCTCCTATCACTTTCTGCAGGTGTTTCTGGCTCTGGAGCTGTGGAGTCTGGATCTGTGGTTGCGGGTCACCTGCTGCCCCCGTGTTCCTGCTCGACACCCTCTGCTACAACAACTATTGTTACTAGTCCTATTGTTATTATTGTTATTATAATCATTAACATTACGACTGTTACCATTAACACTACTATAAATATCTGTACCATTTTTCATTTATATAGCAACATCACCTTTACTGTCTGTACCTCTGTGTGTGTATATTGTGTAGGCTGCCTCCCTCCCCTCTCTCTCTCCTTCCATCCCTCTCTTTTTTCTGTTCCTCTCCTGCTCTCTCTCTCTCTCTCTCTCTCTCTCTCTCTCCTTCACCCCCAACCGGTCGAGGCAGATGGCCGCCCACCCTGAGCCATGGTTCTGCTCGAGGTTTCTGCCTCTTAAAAGGAAGTTTTTCCTTGCCTCTGTCGCCTAGTGCTTGCTCTTGGTGGGAACTGTTGGGCTTCTATAAATAGCATCATAGATTATGGTCTAGTCCTGCTCTTTTATGAAAAGCGCTGTGAGATAACTGTTGTTGTGATTTGGCGCTATATAAATAAAATTGAATTGAAAATTGAATTGAATTTACACCACCTTACTCGCTCATACATTTACTGTCCTTTACAACAGAATTAAGGTAGTCACTATTTGTCATCAGTCCATCAAAATTGCCATGCTATCACCGTGAACAAGGATGTGATCAAAAATCCGCTGTAGGTAATATATACCCTGTTTCTACTGGCCAACCATGCAAATTCCCAGGTCAAGTTTAAAAAATCAGCATAATTTGCTTCATTGTACTGAATAAAAAATTATAATAGTAAATATTCACAGAAACTGTTTACCTCAAGGCCATAGAAGTTCCGTTGACCGACGCAGCTGAGTATGCTCTGTGGGTATGTCTATAAGAGCAGCTCCCGTGCCGTACATAGCGCTCATCCCCACAGCAGAGAATCACCAAAAATGCCCTCCGAAATGCCCTGTTCAGAAAGGCGTAGAGGAAGGGGTTCAACCCTGAGTTAATGTACCCGAGCCACAGCCATGCTGTCCAAAGCTGCCAGGGCACTGTGTAATGAATGAAGGGGTCCACCACATTGGTGATAAAGAATGGCGCCCAGCAAAGACAGAAACAACCCATTATAATCGCCAGCGTTTTTGCCGCCTTAGTTTCAACACGCATGCGGCTATTTGCTATGGGAGCCTGCTCTGAGGCAGAGGAGCCCGCTGTTGTCCTAAGGCGATGGTGCTCCGATGGATCTGAGGAAGTGGAGGACCTCACGGTGATCACCGGAGCTGTCCCGGTGACGGGTGCAGAGCCAGCCCGCTGCAAAGTCTCGATCTGCCTTACGTGGGTCATGGCTGTGATGTAGATGCGCTGGTAGGCCAGGACCATGAGGGCTAACGGGACGTAGAAGGCCACCGCAGAGCAGATCAGGGCATACGGCCGGTTGACCAGAAACACACAGCTTGTGTCATTGGAGCCTCCTACCATGGCTCGCCTTTCCTCAATCTGGAAAGGAGAAGAGAGAAAAATAACAAACATGCAGAAGAAGCCGTTCATAATCTATGGCATTTGAAGGTTGTATCCAGGCTGTTAAACTGACTGAAAAATAAAGACAGAATCTAAAGTCTACCGATCACAGAGCAAAAGTGAACCAACGTATTAACTTACTTGAATACTGAGAAAGAGGACAACGATATTAAGGATTAACACTATTCCCGTACAGCTATGTTAGCGTTAGCTAACAAACATTACATTAGAAACAATCCACAGCCTACATTTTTCTGGATTTGTTTTGAAAGGAAGGGGAAACACCTAGCCCAGCTCAAAAAGTTCTAAACTTCTTATTATATATATATATTATTATAAAGGTTCAGTGTGTAATATTTTTGAGGATTTATTGACAGAAATGCAATATAATGTCTATAAATATGTTTTCAGTGGTGTGTAAAGACCTTACATAATAAAACATTATGTTTTTATTACCTTAAAATTAGCCATTTATATTTACATAATCGCGGGCACCCCCTTCTATGGAGGTCGCAGTATTGTGCTGGCATGTTTCTACAATAGCCCACAATGGACAAACAGTGCTTCTGCTTGTATAATTCTGGCAGTATAGACGCCCGTCACTAAATTAAATGTGTCCGTAGAAGAAGAAGAGGAAGTAATAATAATAATAAAAATAATAATAATGATTATTATATACAGTCCTCCTCCACAGTAGTCCTCTGGTTTATTAGAAGTAAGAAGAGAAGTGACATTTGGACAAATGAACGAGCACAAACATGTTATTTAGCACGAGAGCTGACAGCCTGTGGATCTTTATACCATGAAGCCAGAGGAGTCCGGACAGATACAAACAGCTGACGGCAGAAATCACCGATGTGGATTTTCCCAGATAGAAGGCTATAATATGGGACAGATGTTTTCAAAGCGGAGCTGAATTTGTCTGTTTTCTGCTGGACAGGTAATTAACTTAAGTCTGTCAGACTCTAGTGATGCAAATGAAAGCTGTTGTTTGTTAGCTTTAGCTAGAAGCTGGCCATAATCACTGACAGACCTGATGTGTTTCTCCTGTCCACTTCTGTAAAATATGTAGTTGGATTAATTTCATGTAGTGACTCTCTCTCTCTCCAGTGCACTGTTTTGGCTTTGGCGGTTAAAAAGAAAATTGTTTTTTGATAGTGCTTTTCCACTGTGCACAAAATTGTATAATTTGTACTTTCACATGCTAAATAACCATTAAAAACATTGAACCGTTTTACCACAAGCTGAAATTATGGCTGTCAGTACTACTTTGTGTTTTTGTTGTATTTAAAAAAAAACAAAAAAACAACACATTTTGGTAACATTTGCAGATTGCTTATCTAATTAATTAAACAAAGCGAGAGGAGCCTTGATCCTCACCTGACAATGCTTTTGTAAACTTCATGTATTATGTGGTTTATAATAGACTGTTGTGCAGAAACAGTGAGGCTTACATTTTCCTGTAATCTGTCAGTGGCCATACTTGATGCACTAGATGTGATAGTTTTTGAGATGTTCTGCATTTACTTTGACATGTTAGTCCAGATGAGCCAACCCTCCCAAGATGTAAAAAAAAGTATAATTACAGTACAGTTAAATAATGTATTACAGGAAAATGAGACATCATGTAATACTTTATTTCTTGATGTGGCTGTTGTTTAATGAACAAGTAACAATAATATTCACAATAACATATGGTTTTACTGAATAATCAAGTAAATATCATTTTTAAATATATCAATGTAAAGAAACCTGATTTCTTGACTGGCAACTCTCTGCTATCTCACAGAGGACATCTTTTGTCCTGTCTCAGGCACCGTAGCGATACAACTCTTGGATAGGGGGGGGGGGGGGGGGGGGGGTGCAATTTGCAACTCTCTCCACTAGATGCCACAAAAACTTACACACCGAACCTTTAAACAAACAAGATGCAAGTTAATTAGTGAGCTTCAGAGGTGTTGGTAGCAGTGTTGTTAAACTTTGGAGGGGTTAGCTGCTAAGCTAGGCTAAAGAAAGAGGTAAAGTGCTAAATACTGTTTTGTAATTTCCTTTTTAGCCAGGTTTAGCCTGTTTGGCCAACTGTATGTTTGTCCTCAATTGGAAATATGAGGTCAGAGTAAATTGTGCTCCCCGTAAATCCTGTAAATCCTACAGGGGGAGCAGAGCCTCAAGCTGAAAAAGGATTTATCTTATCCCCTTGTGTAGTAGTTGAACTGATGAAATACCCGCTCAGCGCTACATTGTCATTGGTCATTTTGTGTGAGGGGGCAGTAAAATTCTAACCTACAAGCATCTAGAAGGTATCTTTCAAGTACTTACACATATTAAGTATGTCTAGTTTCACAGCTAAGGCAGAGCAAAGACTTTCAAATCACTACTCCACAAGGAGTGTAGAGGCTCTTTCTGTCTTTTGTGAAAATGGTGCGGACACAGTTCAGACCAAGCAGACAGTTCAATCAAGAACAATCAGTTCTTGTGGCTTTGTGGCAGCTGGTGAAGAAGTTTTGGTTTCAAACAATTCCCTTTTGGGGCAGAACAGGAGGTTTAGTGAGTGATCAAAGAGAGAAATGTACACACAAAATGTAAAATGATAAAGTAAAACATAAACTAAAGCCTGGCCTGAATGTGCAGACATAAGTCATTTCAAGTTCTATGCAATTAAGTCTGTGACATATGACTTCAAGATACCCAGCCAGCTTTTAAAAACAGAAGATTGTTTTTTGGATGCCGCCTGACTGAAAGACAGAGAAAAGACCTGTGTATTTCATTAACTCTGGCTGAATAAATTCATCTATCCCCGCCTTCCTCTGAGAGTCCTGCAGCTCATTTCAAGGCAGCTCTGAAATAACCTTACGCCAAAACATATCCAAACCAGCAGAAAATGCTTGCTGAAGTGCTGTCTTTGCTCGCAGCAAGAGAGCCTCCACAGGGACTGGAATTGTTTTGTGATCACTGCATTACCTTGTCATTGTTCAAGGGATTGGAAATGTTATTAGAAACAGAGAATATTAGGTTGGAAAGCTTCATGCTGCATTTGCCCTACGAGAAAGTACATTTCTCTCTTTAGGCAATTGAGGGAGGTATATAAAGTCTTCAGTGTCATATACTTTGTTAAAATATACAGTACATTTTGTTGATGCAGCTTTAGGATTACAATTTTTAATAATAATAATGTAACCAGCAGTTGTTTTTCAGCTCATTACTGTGTCCCCTCACGCCTCCTTCTTGATTTCTAATCTCAGCTACTGAGGACTTACAATGTCCTCGATGCCGATAGCGTTCCAGCTTTGCATAATGGGTAGGAAGGAGATGAATGTGGGGATGATCCAGCAGCCGCTGAGCATCACTGCCACTCGGACCGGGGTCATCTTGTGTCTGTAGACCAGCGGCTGGCAGCAAATAGCGTAATACCTGAAATAATACACACCCATACTGTATTCTTCAGTGTACAGTTTTTGAAGTGATAAACTATAAACACAAAGCCAAACATCAACGCTGTTTTAAACTATTCTTACAAATTCAGCCTTCAAATGGCATTTTTCAATTCCTTTTGTTGTATGTGATATCTTAGACATGGGATTATTTGGATGACCCACCAAAATAAGTGCCCCCAACCGAAATAAAATTTATTTCACTTTTTTATTATTTCCTCGTTTAGAAGTTAGGCTTGGAAACAAAGTAGAATGTATTGTTTCTTATCATGAATTTATCATAATTTTTTTTAAATTATTTTTTATTTGACTTATTTGGGGAAGTCTCTCTTCGAAGTGCTTCTCCTTTCATCAGTAGTTTGCACAGTTTTGTGTTCATTTGCTTTCTTAGATTTGTGTATCAAATGACAGCGTTTCACACAAACCTGTCCAATGCAATGCAGCACAGGTGCAGGATGGAGGCTGTCGTCAACAGGACATCCAGAGACGTTCGGACCAGGCAGAAGATCTCTCCATACCGCCACTGGCCAGTGGTCAGCTCGATCGCAGCGAAGGGCATCACCACCAGTGCAACCAGTAAGTCAGCAAACGCCAGCGACACAATGAAGTAGTTAGTCTTCTTCTTTCTTAAAAGGAGAGGAGAGGAGACAACAAGTTGACAGCAAAAATTATCCACAAAAGTATCCCTGATGGTCTAAGTAAAGAGGATACTTACCTCCTGAAGATCTTGCTGGTAGCGAGTAAAAGGCCATTACAAAACACTGGCTTCAGAAAAACTGTCCCACAAACATCTAGATCTTCCAGAACAGACAACCTACTCCATACGACTCCAAAGGAATTGGGAAAAGAACGGTGCGAAAAAGTATGTTTTTATTTAGATAGACCCTTCTCATTTCTCTCTGATTCCAGGACCATCAGCACCGGATCCCCTCAAGGCTGTGTTCTTTCCCCTCTGCTCTTCTCCCTGTACACCAACAGCTGCAGCTCCAGTCACCAGTCTGTCAAGCTCCTGAAGTTTGCAAACGACACCACCCTCATTGGGCTCATCTCAACCATCTGGTGATCTGGTGCAGCCAGAACAGTCTGGAGGTCAATGCTCTGAAGACCGTGGAGATGGTCGTGGACTTCAGAAAGAGCCCAGCCCCACCCTCCCCAGTCACCACTGTGGACTCCTTCTGCTTCCTGGGCACCATCATCTCCCAGGACCTCAAGTGGGAGCTGAACATCACCTCCGTCACCAAGAAGGCCCAGCAGAGGATGCACTTCCTGCGGCAGCTGAAGAAGTTCAGCCTCCCAAAGACAATGATGGTGCACTTCTACACCGCCATCACTGAGTCCATCCTCACCTCCTCCATCACCATCTGGTACGCTGCTGCCACTGCCAGGGACAAGGGCAGGATGCAGCGCATCATTCGCTCTGCAGAGAAGGTGATTGGCTGCAATCTTCCTTCTCTTCTGGACCTGTACTCCTCGAGGACTCTGAGGCGTGCAGGAAAATTGCAGCTGACCCCTCCCACCCCGGACACAAACTGTTTCAGACTCTCCCCTCTCGTCTGCAACTAGCCTCATTAACAAGGCCCGGGTCCCCCACTGACACCCCCCCCCCCCCCCTTGCAAATGATACAAATGTCTCTGCACATGTAAATACTGTTTCATCTCGTGTCGGGCACAGACCTGGCACGTTGCACATATTTGTTGTTGATTGTTGATCTTTGTTGTTGTATATTTTTTTGTTGTCAGTTTATATATTTATATATACACAATATTCTCTTCCATTGCGTTACTTCTGCACGGCACAGACCCACAATAATGCACATTTATATATCTGCAACGTTGTTCTTCTATTCCATATTTATATATTTCTACATTTATTTATTTTGACTGTATGTTTGTCTACGTGTAGCACCTTATCATCACAGCAAATTCCTCGTATAAAACACTACTTGGCAATAAAGTACTTCTGATTCTTCTGATTCTGATTTCACTGGGAGCCATAATGGACAACTGCTACTGCTTCCAGCACTGAAAATAAAAAAACAGGCTCACCGTAGATGTCTGTCCTTGCAGAGTGCCACCATGACCAGTAGGTTTCCAAACACTGTCATGATGATAATGATGGAGAGAAAGACAGTGAGAACAACTGTCTCCAGCGAGCTCAGGAATTCCGGCTGCTGCTGTTGTTCCTGTTGTTGTTGTTGTTCTGCGTTTATTACGTCATCCAACAAACTGCGAGAGGGGAAAACACAAATTCATCAGTTATTTTGAAACTGCTCATATATCAGATTATTGGGGTAAGATAATATTGCTAGTAGATAGTAAAGATAGAGAGGAAACAAGGTAGAGAGGTAAAAGAGAATGACATGCCAAGGGTGTTGCAATTGCATTGTTACACATGCAGCAGATCAACTTCTTACTGAACATAAGCATGGATTTGGCACAAATAACCCCAGTGGTGTCCTTTTTCTGGTAAGGACAGTTTATTTAATTCATTACAAAGCTACACTCAGAAAGCAATTAGTACTTTGAATGAAAAAAGAATACTTACAAATTGAATTTTATGTTTAGACTGAGATTGAAAAGAAAGCAATAATACTGAAATTAACCAAGTTTTAAAAAGCAATATTTAACAAAACTGGTATATTTTATGTAATATGTACAATGGTTAAAATTTTAGGTTTTAATGTAACAGAGATTGAATTTATGTCTTACTGCCGAGGTGATGCTGTGGCCATCACTGGTCATCTGCATTGAGGTCAGCAGAGGATAGTCCTCATCACCCCATGCTCTGGCCCTGTTGACACACACACACACACACACACACACACACACTCATGATGTAATTGTGCTGGCTCTTGCAATAAGGCTGCATTTTTCCAAAAATAGTAGCCAGCTTGCGTGTACAAATGGACTGGATTTCTTCTTGTTTGTCCTTCTTGTGGCAGCAATACTGTGCCAAAAATGTGATATTTGTACCTCAAATATGTAACTAGATCACAGCTTGAAAGTGTGGAATATTTATAAGACAAACAAGCTGCAACAGCAGATTCCAGATTCCATCAGCATGTTTGTTTGTCTTTGTAATGCAATAGTAAAACCATGCTTTAGTGAGTACCACAAGAGAAATTTTCCTTTTTTATTACCCTGTCAAAGGAGGTCAAAGGTCAGATATCAGCTCTTGAACACTTCTGAGGCTGGTAAAGATTCAGCAGATCCTGCTTCTCGCTGTCTGACCCTGCAGCCCTTATTTAACCTGGCAAATAAGGTAAACATATTGATTTTACCAACAATAGCCTGAGATAACAAGAGGACAATTAGTTTACAAACAGGTGAGGGAGGTTAAAGCATTAATTCTGGGTCATTGTCTACCTGGACCCTGTTTAACTTCCTTTTTTTCTGTCAAATTAATCACTTCTGATACAGATCAGTATACAGCTTCTTACGTTTTTGGCTAGTGGTGGATAGGTGCCTGCTCTAAAAAAACATACAGATCAACATACAGAAATAAAGAGGGAAACCTCCAATATCTTTCTTAAAATGCCTGTCTAAATGTCTGTACAGTTGTCTGACAGTTTTATCTTTCTGTATATTTTAGTCAGGACTGACCTGCTCAGATACTAACCTACAGACTAACACTGCCATCCCTAGAGTATGTGATAATAACAATAAAATATATACGGATATACTTGCACCAAGGCAAGACAAGTACACACTGTTTCTTTCTATATTTACATTAACTAAGAGGACTATGTCAAAAAGGAAATGACAAATGGCTCATGCTTGGAGTCATTTTACAGTATCTGTACTTGAGGAACAGCATAAAGCCTTTCTTCGGTACAGTTGTGGATACCTTATCTGCTTTAAGCACCTATTACAACATCTGCTGGGTCTCTGCCTTTTTATGATGACTGTCTGGTCTTATCGCACTAGAGGGTCAATATCATTACACTGTGACAGCCGGTGATCCTGTCAACAACACCTACTTCCTTCAGGCAGATCATCATTTACAGTTTCACACACGTATCATGTAGTCCAGTAATTCTCAATTCTCTGCCTTGGTGTCTGCGCAGTTTGGCTGTAAGGCTTTTGATGTAAGTTTAACATCACTTTATTTCATCTTAACACTGTTTTAATTCGGTTCATGTTCCTATGTAAGCATCCAGCATTCACTAGATTTAACCATGGCATAAAATCATTTGACTTGTCTCAATTCAGAACAAAGACAGTTACAGTAGTGGTCTGTGAGACTGATCTCGATTTGCTTGCTGGTCCCCAGAGACAAGAACCCCTGATCCAGATAATGGCTTTTCCAGTTCTGACCTGTCCAGTCTTTGTGTTTTAGACACACACACAGCATTCACTGGGTTGTGAAAATATATTGCACTTTTTATTCAAATGTCTTGTAAAGTTTGGTGAAATTGAAACCAAAACAGAGGTGACAAGAAAAGTTCAGGGTGATTTCTATCAACAGCTCCACTTCCTTGAGGAGAGCAGAGAGATAACACAAACCAGATAGATTCCACCGAAGCCTCATTGTACTTGGCTGAAGATCATACATACCATCTGTACTAACAACGGCCAGTAAACACCATGTTCTTTCTCTAAACACATGAGCACCATTGATCAACTCCCCACCGTCATCTTTGGTGGTCAAAAACCCATACAGATGTTTTATGATCTCTTAATCAAGTGATTCCCAACCAGGTACATGGAACGATTGTGGAATAGTTAAACTAATCTGAATAAAAAAGGAATTATGCTATCAAATACTTCTGTTTAGGAGACAAAAATAAAGACACTGGATTACAAATTGGTGTGACACTGATACTTTTGTTAATTTATTGTCATAATAACCAGGAAACCAACCTGAATACCACATGCTCTGGTTAAAAGTTTGTGAAAACTTTCAATTAAATTTTATTTATACAGCGCCAATTCACAACAACAGTTATCTCATAGTGCTTTTCATATAGAGCAGGTCTAGACTGTCCTCTTTGTGCTATTATATACACAGACCCAACAGTTCCCACCATGAGCAAGCACTTGGTGACACAGGCAAGGAAAAACTTCCTTTTAAAAGGCAGAAACCTCGAGCAGAACCATGGCTCGGGGTGGGCGGCTATCTGCCTTGACCAGTTGGGAGCAGTTAGCAAGCAACACCAAATCTGCCACGGAAAGAAAACAGACCGGGCCTAAGCATCGACAACTTCAGGATCACTATGTCTTATAGAGAAACATTTTGTAACAACCATAGGACATGTTCTCAGAAAACATAAAGGCAAGTGCAAGTATCTATACCTGTTCGAGTAGACCATACGTGAGGAAAAAACCTGCATCATAGAGAGGGCGAGACACAATTAACTGTCCAAATGGGGATAATTGTGCACAATTTCTCCACTTTAAAAAGGCTATATGCAGTTTTTCAATGAAATCACTTATCAATAAATCAATTTTTTAAGTGCTATTTGTCAACGGGCTTTAACCTTATTTAGAAATTAACCAGTTTTCGCTGCTGCTTGAGCAGCCACTACTCTGCTTCGTTCAAGCACGCGTATGAACACACACCATGTTGCAATCTAAAAAGTGCAAGTGGCCGCTGAAAACTACATATAGCCCCTAAAAGGCATTCATGGTGTTATGGTGGTGCTTGATGATACACGTGAAAAGTGACTGAAGTAGTATTTGTGAACGGAGAAAGTAGGGTTGGGTGGCGTCATATACCGCGCGATGGTAGAGTGTATCCACCGGTAGAGATATGATACTGTTTCAACCGCAGCTATCCCTTAGTGTCTCTATCATGTAGCAAATAAGGGCTGGATTTTTGTGTGATCTCGTGATACTGCAAATCCGGCTCCCTTGCAAGGTAATGTGACTTGGGCAGCATGACTTCTTACTACATTCTTATATGGCATGAGATCAACAGCTGGTGGCAATAACGCCCCTCTAAGCTGGTTTGTCAACCTTCTTAGGAGAAGAGAGTGACAAGAAATCATGGAGAAGGACTGAAATTGTAAATACAGAGCAGAAGGAGAAGAAAATAATCAAATGTGATGAAGTACAGTACGGTTATTTAAAACCATTCTATATACTGTGATATATCATATCACGCTTTCACACTTCCACATCCTGGCCAATAAACAAATGCTAAAGGACCTAACAAGCATCTAATTTGAATCTCACTGAGGCCTTTAGAGGCTGCTGACCCCTTGGGCACTCAAGCTGTACCCACATCCATGATAACCCACACAAAAACACTGATTATACACACAGTAAATATAATTAAATGTCAAGTTGCTGAAGAAATAATTCAGCTCAACAATGGCGCACAGATTGGATGGTATTCTAGTTTGCATTCTCATTACAAAACCCAGTTTTCAATAACACACTGACAAATGACTGATTACTGTTTGCATCTCAAATGATCCGTAGGACACTGTAATAAGCATCATCCTATTGCTCTTTCACTCACACAGAAATCATTACTGGACAACAAAACTAACACTACCCACTAAAGTACCCGTTGCTCGCTCAGTTACTCGCACATTGGAATCTAAGGAATGTGAATATTTTTGCTCAGTCTGAATTGCAACGAGAGGAAAAAATAAGAGAGAAAGAGAGAGTGAGAAGGGAGAGGAGCTATATTTCTGACATGTTGCTGCAGTTCTTCTGTGTGAAGTATGTCCAAGGAGGCGTGTTTTCACAGCTCACCGTGTCTATTTCACATCTGACTGACACGGAGTTGAATGGAACAGAATGAACTCTGGAGAGCAGGGCCCAGGAAGAGACTAAGTTGCTTTTTGTCTATTTTTTATGTCCTGTATAGCCCACAGTTCTTATTATTGTCATTACAGTATTACAATTAATTTATATCATTATCATTATTGACTATGATCAAAGCTCTAGAATACATACTAAAACTAAAGTGTGCATCATGTCAGTGAAACTGATTGAATAGCATTACTGTAAATGAGAAATAGGACTAAGTCTATAGCCCTGCTAGCAGCTCTGTGAGACTACTTGGCACAATGCTAACATTAGCAGATGTTTAGTATGATCATCTTCTTAGTTTTGCATGTTAGCATGCTTACATTTGTTTATTAGCACTAAACACAAAGTACAGCTGAGGCTGATGGAAATGTCAGTAGTATAGGTATTTGGACATAAACCACAGTACCGGACAAAAAAAAAAGAATTCTGATCCGATGATGGCGCTAGATGAAAAGCCAGGGGATCAGCAAAGTTATTACAATTCATTCTGTGGGTAACAACTTCATGGCAATCCATCTAATAGTTGTTGAGACATTTTACCTAAAACCACAACTCTAAACCTCATGGTGGCACTTATGGAAAAGTCAGGGAATCACAAAAGTCGGTGGGGTACATCCTCTAGCTGCGCCACTTGTCTGGATAAAAAAAGAGACAGGCAGATATACTGATTAAGTTTCTCATACTGCTGCTCTGGAAGAGGAAATCGTCTCATTGGCTAAAAGCCACTGTGGCTTTGTAGCGTATGAAAATCTAAGGAGATCAGTTCAAGTCCAAGTCAACATTAGCATTAACTAGAGGTGTGGCTAGATCTCGCACCACGAGATCTTGTGAGATTAAATTGTGACAATATTTCTTGTCAGGTAAAAAGTAGTCTTGTGAGACTCACGCAAATTACATTTTTCACACGCTGTTATGCCACACATTAATTTTGTCACGCAGTGAAATACAAATGTATAACTCACTGAGCGAATCAACTCCGTCCAGCTGATGCCACACCGGCGTAACCCGCTCGCACTGTGAGTCCAG